TTAATTTGTTTCTGATTTTTTTTATTAATGAATATCCAAACTTATGGATATGGTGAATTTTACAAAGAAATAACACGGTTACCCAACGATTTTATGACATTATTTGGGTCTGTAGAATTTTATTTTCTAGTAACATATAATTTCTTACAATGGCTCGTAACATACAACCAAAAAAGTGTGACTTTTAGGTTTACTTCGTTACAATAAATCGTCCTTGTTTTTCTCATTCTTATAGTTGGAGATGATACTACTATCATAGTTAGAATTTTAAATGACATCATTAGAGAACTGATTTATATGCACTTAAAATCGTCAAAAAAGCACGTAATAATATTTAAGCGCTTTTTGCGAATTTTATTGCATACAAATCTTTTCCCTAGACATCATATTAAATTTTCAACAGTAAATAAAGATGGATAAAACTATTTATTTTTCTTAATGAGTTTATCGTTAAACTGTACTTTATTTTTCGTCCACGAGTTCGTCACTATCACTAATTCTATTTATTCACATTTGACGTTAATTTAGTTAATTTTTTAAAACAAATTTTAATAAAATTTATGTATTTATTACCTTTATGACAGTCATTTTTAAAAATAATTGTATTATATATTTATCGTTGGAAACAGATATGATTTTATGTGAAAATCAGTAAATAGTAGTGATTTTATTTTCTAACTTAGAAGTGAAAAAATAAGGACAATGTAACATTTTAGAGCTGCATATTAAATATTTTTAAAAAAGTTAATGCAATCCGAAATAATGATATTGTCTTGCGCTAGAGTGATTGAAGAGTACGATATTGTTGTTGACTGGCAATTTTTCTTTATATCGTTCACACTGAACTTATAATTAGATTAAAGTTTATACAGTTCAAAATATTATCATCAGTGGTCAGTTTCAATCAATAATACATAATCACTTAAACTAATTATATAAATGAGTTGTTTGTTAATTTACCTCAAAATATACTGCAATTAATTTACATAACTACGTTAATTTTATATTTTTCTTGTATTATAATATTAAGTACCCTACTATCAAATTCAATACGTTATAGTAATAAAGTATTATACTCAAATTGTTAACGTATAACATATTCTTCTTAAATTCTGAAAATACCGGGTTGTTCTCAAATAGGTACAAAAAAAAAAACTGCCATTTATTATGTCAATTTAAATGTCCTTAGTGACTATGCAGAGTGTTCCAGAAAAGAATGGAGAACTCTACAGGGTGTTACTCTATTACTCTATATGTGTCTATAAAAATAGGTTTTGTAATTTTTTTTTTTTAGTATCAAAACTTTGGTTTTACCAAAATTTCTAGTAGAAAACTTGTTCACAGAAAAAACAATAAACATCATTGTAAAACCATAAGCTTCTTAGCTTCACTTAGAATCTAAAATAAATATGCAATTTATTAATCGTCCCTACTATTCCTGTATAAACTTAAAACTGTTATAACTCATAAACGGTAAATCTGATATTAGTTTTATGCGTACTCAAATTTCTAAATAAATATTGTAAATTTGGATCTACGTTATGAAAGAGGGATTCTTATTTGAAAACCAAAAGTATAAATTTATTCGAGGTATATGGAGTGAGAGTAAAAATTTAAAAGGGTTTTAATGTTTTAAAATAAAGCTTAAATTATTCCACAATGATTAAAAAAAAAGGAAACAAACTCTCCAAGAAAACTGCTGGTTCATGATAAAAAATCACTCTGTATTTACCATATTTGAGTTGTGTACAAGTACATTGAACCAAGGCTTCAAACCGTTTTCAAAAAATATATCAGCTATATTATATATTAATATTATGACGTTAATTTCGTCAGTGATAGTATTATTATTTCAAAAATGAATGGAATAAAACCTATAAAGATTATATAAAGTTTTATATATTTTTATTATACTTGGTGTTCTTCAGCCGGATTTATTTGTTATTTAAATTGTGTCGGACCTTTTTCTGATTGAAATAACTTTTATATGAATATATTTATCAAGTTCTCATAACAGTTCACGATAATATTCCATTTAAATTTGAATATTTTATTAAAATATATATATATAGGTACATATTTACGGACTGGGCTACTGTATTAGCTAACGCTAAAGAGAAAACTCAATAGCCAACCCTATATAGCTGTATGGACCTAATAAGTCGATTAAAATATCAAATAACTTTTTAAATATTCTAATATTTTGTTTAAAAAGTTCAAACCCAACATTTAATAATTATAACGCAAGAGTTAGCGCACCTAGCCGATAAGTGGGTAAAACACGATTGCGTACGTTCGTTACCTGATTTTTGGTTACACGATTGCGTACGAAATTTTAAGCATTATTGCCAATTTCCATACCAGTATATGTATACCATACGAGTGAACTAGAAAAAATACATAAATACTTTTCGTTTTTCCATAAACGTTTGTTGTTAACCATATCAACGTAACATCAAATATATCTTGACATGTTGAAATTTTGTTGTTTCATTTACTTTATCGTCGTTTAGTAATATCGAAAATTTTATTCAATTTATAAAATCCGAAATAGCAAAATAGTTACAAAACCACAAGACCGGTTATTCAATTAATTTATAACGGGGAAATAAAGTAAATAAAATGACAATAAAGTATTTTATTTGAGTTCGAAATATTATAAAGGCTTGTGATTAGTATAAAATCCATACAAATCTATTGAAATATATTTTGAAAGTATAAGGTTATAGATGTTCAGAAATTAATTTTTTCATCGAGTTTCGACTATAAATATTATTTGCTTCGTCTAAAATAACAAGTATAGTAATTTTTGACGGCCACCAAATATTGCACATTATCTAAATGTCATTTATGTAGATACTATATTGTAGATTAGAACCAGTACAGTTATCGCGTTAGTATGTACCGCATACACTATTGTCCATATTGTTAATGCCGGATATAAATATAAAATAAGGAAGTGGTCCTCAACAATCGTTTTTAGTAGTATTCTTAGTCGCATTTATAACATGAGTCTAGTTTCTAATTTTTAAAATGACGAAAGTTGTGAAATCGAAATCGAAAGTGAATTATTATTTAAAAGATATTCCTAACGAGACATTTAAATGTGATGTAGACATTTTATTCTATTCATGCCGTGAAAAGGTAGTATCAATAAATCAACATTTTTCTTTACTTCTTTACTTTACTTTTCTTTAATTACTTTTATTTAATATTTATATTGTTATACATTAATATTCAATATGTGTGAAATAAACGAGCAAATTGACACAGTAGGTACAATTACCAGTGCTATCACAAAAAATATCAGTGTTGCCACTTAAGTATGCCATAAATTATTTCACAACTAATAACGCGCATTGTTCGCGCACTGGTGCCCCCCGTAGCCACTGCGGTGATCGTATGGGAAAAAATACAATAAATCAAAAATAACCAGATAAAAAACTTTCAGTGACGAGATCAGATCCTAGTGATCAAGTTTCTAAAGAAGTGACACCCAAACAGTTATTAGTATTAAAACCACAAAATGACGATTCGCCTAGCTTTCCTTCTACTATTGAACGAGAAAAAAACATTCTACCAATAAGACAATGTATAGAACACAAACCTAGAGATGAAGAATCTTCGATAGTTGAAACTTAACTGGAATATAACAATAAAAGTTAGGTTAGAATTCCTAAAGATGATTGTGAAAACAATACATTTAATGTATTTGATTTAACTGAACAAAATATACGGACAAAATGAATCGCAGCCATAAAAATGGAATTTTAGAATTTCACAATAACAATTAAACACAAGCTCGATTAGATCAATGAAATTAAGTCACCAAGTGATTTTAAGACAAATAGATATATGTAGTGTTCTTGAGGAAAACATTTTATGTAAATTAACGAGAAAGAGCTACACGTATTCAAATGTAAACAAAACCAGGTCTAAATTATTCAATAAATTGCAACCTAATTTTAATGGTAAATCAAATGGAAACAGTTTTGTAAAGAATATATGAGGTCTAGAATATCTTTTGGTTTTCGTGGAGATTTGAAAACTTAGAATAATGAAAGAAAATTTGTGAATCTAAAAGTTGAACAAGATACAAATAATGGATTAAAGCACTTCATTCATGATAAATATAAAATTAATACTTTGACAGAGGAGTTATAAAAAAATAGCTGATATTAATGGATGCGCCACTGTTATAGGTGGAAAGTTGATAAGGTTAGCTACGTAATAAAAAACGATTTGGAGCGAAATTTACACATAAGCTTACACATAATTCGTAAGGCTATAATATTTCCTATTTTCTTCAAAATTTGATTTTAAAACGATTAATACATTCTAATTTTATTATTTGACCACGAACATCAAGTACAACTTAACGGTTTATTTTAAGTTATAAATAAATGTATGTATCCTATCTCATGAAATCTCTTCGAAATCCAAAATGCGTCTATATTTCATACTTTTTCCTTTTGATTTACCATTAAAATTCGAAGGTTGAAATTTATTAGAAAGCTTACGCTTTAGTAATTTAAACAACTTTATGCACATTACCGTTCTAACTAACCGCCTAAAAAAGTGGCTCACCCATCAGCATCAATGTCGGCTCTTTGTTAGGTTAAAATTAATTTGTCTGCGGAGGTAATTTTTTTTTCATTCAGGAATACGCTACTTGTATTCGGTAATTCGTGCATTTTTCCATTTTTTTTCCCGGATATTTTTTTTTTTTTTTAATTTTTCTTATGGAAATGACCAAAAATCGAAAAAACAAAATGGAAACAACGCAGTTTACGGTGCGCGGAATTTCGCGTCGGAAAGCCGATATACTAAACATTCCGGAAAAATAAACATTCCGTGTTCGTAGCGGCCGACGACGACGTCCAGACCCGCGGGCGTCGAACGGCACCGGCCGCGTGTGCCGCCGCCGCCGCCGCCGCCGCCGCCACCGAGGGGTGGCAACGCGATTCGCCAGTAGTCGGAGTCGCTGACATAATCAGTCGCGGTTCGGACTCCGTTACGGTTACTCGGATATTTCGGTTCGGTCGCGGAATAATTCACCGTGGTTTTTTTTTTTTTTTTTATCGGTTAATTTTTCGAGGTTTTTTTTTTTTCGCCGGGCTCGAGTTGAACGATTTTTTTTGTTTTTTATACGCGCGCAACACCGTCGAAACGAACGAACAACAACGATATTATTACAATCGTCGCCGTCGCCGTCGATAACTACTATTCGAAATCCAACGTGTTTCCGGTTCCCGTCGTTCCCGCGCGGACAATTCGGATTACCTATCGCCGGGCTCGACGAGATTTTTCGCGGCGCAGGTAATACCGCATATTATTATTGGTAGTGTTCTGGACTGTTAACATTATAATTACGTATTACGCCCGGACACGTTTACAGTTAGCGAACCTAAAATAATTCTACTCGCCGTCGTATACGACGATAATATTTTAATCGTGTGTGTCGAGCATCGGGGGAAAAAAAAAAAAAAATGTAAACGCATATTATGGCGATATTCGAATCGTCGTCGGACGGTCGAACAATCGGTAAATAACGTTGTTTTTAATTGGTCGTTTCGTAGGTTTTTTTTTCAAAAATTATTCTCACCGATTATTAGTTTTGAAATTATTGCTGTGATAACCTAACAATGTGTACTATTATTGTATAGATGCCTACCTAAAATGTATTGCCTTATAACGCGAAACTATAATATTATTACGATAGTCGCAAAACAATGCATATATGGATTCGAATAATTATCGTCAGTCACGAGAACGCGAATGCAATATTGCAATTTATTTTTATTTCTCTAATTTCTGGTCGTTTTTATTTTACTGTTTTTTTTTTTTTTGTTATGACACGTTTTAAAAATCCTTGATTGTCGATGACCACACCGTTGCCGCCGTTATATTATTATAGTAATAGTCGAATATTATATTTTTTTTTTCGATTTCGATTTCTACATAATATTATTTTATACGGATACGAGACCGCGGAACATCCGACGATAATTGTTACAATTACTTAACAAATTACGCTAATTCGGTAAAATGCAATTGTTTTATGTGATGTATTCTCGTTTAAATAGTTAAACAAAAAATTAACAATTTTTAACCGTTTATAATACGTGTATAGGTAATGATAAACATTCGAAATGTGCGTTCGACTAGTTGGGTTCACATAAATATTAATAAAACAAAAAGAAAATGTCGAAATATCAGAAAACAGTTTTGTTTTATTTTCATTTCAACACGGGTCACGATCCAATGTACAGACAGTTTCAAGAATTCAATACAATTTGAATATACTTAATTTAACAGTTTCCGAGAATAATTTTTTTATTTGTTAATCAATAGTATACCTAATACGTAATAATATACATATAATATTATTGGTATTGTTTCGATGGTATTTTTTTTTTATTGTTTTATTATTTTATACAATCTACAGACTTAGATGGTATTAAATAACGGAAGCGTTTCACTAAATCTACCCGCAATCAGTCGGAAATCGAATAATTTATATCTTCTTTCTTTTCGCATTAATTTACTGTGTAGTGCAAATCCAAATCAAAGTCTAATAAACGTAAGAATGTGTTTTCATTATTATTCAGTGTTCGAATTTGGGAGGGGAGGGGGGTTACTGGGAGACGGAGTACCGGTTGTTTTTTTAAAAAAATATTTTAGCGTACCGCTACTAATTTGCCTTAACGGGTCGCCGAGGACGGGACGTCCTGGACTCGTTTTTCAATTTTATTATAGAGCAAAAATAAAGATTAGATGTCGATAAATTGCATAAATGTATGTATAGAATATAAATTACCTTCGCATGCGTTATAAATGTGAATCGTTACTCCGTCTTCGTATCGAGTTATACAATGATAGCGTGACGTGACGTCATAAACATAACGATCTATTTTTTATATTTTAGATTCTCAATAATTGTGTATTATCGATTTAAACCATATTAGTTACCTATATAAAAGCGCGTTCACACTAGAGATCAATTTGAAGATTTAAATGTATTGGATACCTACCAATAACTGGCCAGATAATATTGATATTCAACATAGTAACGATAGCGTTAGACGATTGGCAATAAAGTTTAGTCGTAGCCCCATACGTGTTTGTTGAATTAAAATTATTACAAGAGACGCTACTTTTTTTTTAAAGTCTCATAGTTCCACTTCTTATGTATTCCAAATTTAAGACTTGCTGTTACAGGTACGTAATAGTATACGTAGTAATTACTATTGGCCCAATATGTAATCTATTTATAAGCATAATTTTTACCACAAACGATCTCACAATCAATACTATATAGTTTACAAACAATTAAAATATTCTATGCGATAAAAATATGGAAACAAATTTATTTCATTACTAACTCATATATTTTTTCGGGTGGTAAAAAGTTGAGATGTGTAAGAAATGGTACAAAAATAGGGAGCTTTAGAGTTATAACTCCACCCTCCCCCCCAAAAAAAAATCTGTGTTGCACCGTAATGCATAAATATTATAAAAGGGCAACAAATTCATTATCAAAAAAAAAAAATTCTGTCATTTACATATTATGAAAAATACGATTGCTTTTTAGCGGGAATCTATAAAACAACTAACAAATTATGTCCTGTAGTGATGGAAATCGGTTTGAATGTCTCGTTTTAAATCGTGGTGTAAAATATAAATGAACCGGAATCGTTGATACTTGATTAAAAATATTTGTTCACATCGGTTTGCGTTGTCGCTTTTCTTAATATTGTGTAGGTACCTATATGATGTGGAGTTGTACTCAATCGCTGTCTATTTTAAATATCAATCCAATAATCCGAACAATATTATTATTAGGGGTACGCACTTATGAGTAGTACTTGAAACGAAAATTTTAATGATACCTCGAACAATTTGCTAGGTTTTTTATGACTTTCGTGATAGGATATTTGAAACACCATTCACGAAAAATCACCTACGTACCGAAATTTAGTTGCTGCATGAAAGTTTTTGAGTTTAACTCTTTTGAATAATAAATAGTATGTACCTAGTTTTAAAACTTATACCAAATTATGGTCTATGCTAATGCGCTTTATTCAAAATTTGATAGCTTGATTAAAATGCAAAATGTCAATGTCTAATTAGACTATATATTTGAACAACTATATACTATTAATTAGATTCTAAGGTGAGCGTAGAAGTAAACATGTTTGGACGTGTTACATTTTCTACATAAATAATGTTCAAAAGTATTATTATTTGAATGGTTTACATTAAGTCTACCTAAATATTTTTAATACAGTTTGATACTTTATACAATTTTTTATTCGAATTATCGAAGTACTAAAATTATATGTCTACAAATTTGAAAATTGTATAAAGCATTAAACATCGAGTTCTAAGCTTCATTTAGAATTAATTCGCATAGTTAATGATGTAGCACATTTGAGCGAAGAAGCTTATAATTTTACAAAGATGTTTATTTTTATTTTTTTTTTGGACAACTTTTCTACCAGAATTATTGCTTTAATTTTTAAGTGTAGCACTTTTTCTGAAAAGAAATCTGACTGGGAAGGTACTTTAAGAAAGCAATTTTTAGATTTTTTCAAGAGTTTTCCAAGGAAATGTGAAAACGGGAAAAACGGGATCTATTTTCATTTTGGAATTGGAATAATTGGAATAATTGGAATTTTATTATAATATGACATATTTATTGTTGATAAAGTAGCACTATCAACTGAACTCCGCTCAGAATTGTTTATTCATTAGCAATGGTTTATTGTTGCTTACAGCTCTACATTCAACTATTTATAACAGTGGCTGCATCCGACCCTATTATCATAGAACGTCTTTTTTTGGGGGGGGGAAGGTACTTATCATTTTTATATAAGTTACCATATTTTGTTAAACGATATAATACACACAAATAACCAATATACAAAAAAAGGGTCCATTCCTCCCCCAACACCCCATCTGCCTTCCCCCTAGCATTAGTGTCCACTATTTATAGGAGGTTATAGTTCTTCTTCCCATAAAGTCCGCAATTTCGAGATGTCACTTATAGATAGGTACTTATATTATAATATTTTGAAATTGACTTGATAACTTATATAGTCATAAAATTAGCTTCTCAACAATAAGGTAGGTAGTCTAGTGCTTAGGCTGCTAGCGTCTCGGGTTCGATACTCAACTGTGGCAGATACCCCATGGTTTATTTTTAAATTTTTTCAAACATTTATAATATTATTAAACCATTTTGATTTGGAATGTTATAGAATTATTTGAACCCGGGCCAAAAAATAATACTAAAATATTATTAAAACTATATTCTAATGGCGTTATATGAAAATGAAATTATAAAAAAATATCAGTCATTACAAAATTACAAATGTTATTATGGTAAAATTTTGCTATCTGGGATATAACTATCAAATACAAAATCGGGTAAACAATTTAAAATAAACTCAAACATATTAAATGCCTATAGAATACTCAAAATATGTCAGAAAGTCTTGAAAATGTTACAACGTCTAGGAAAAAGTAAAAATTTAAAATATGTAATCTGGTAAAATTTTAGGTGTCTACGATTATTTTTAATTAAATAACATCAAAAAAAAAACAAGTCGAAATAATGCAACCATTAATGCCGCGTACTTTCTTATTTGTTCGTATATTTTGTTTCCCAACTATTAAGACAAATGTAAAGGGAATCAAAAAAATTACCTCCTCAATACACAAATTAGGCTCTCTTGTCGTTTTTTGATTGTAACACCTGGTAAAAGAGTCAGTTTACAGAAAAAAAAATAATCACATTATCGTAAAACCAATAGATTTCTCGGTACGCTCAGAATCTAAAACTGAACCCCGTTGTGTTTAGGTTCTGAGCGTATTATTTCTTAAATTGATTTTTCTAACTAATTCTAAATATAACTTCTTTTTATAGCTATGTAGTGTATATATTCAGGTCATAACAATGAAACATAAAAATAATAAATTGCACTTATATAGTATGATACCTATATAGTTTGCACACCGTTTGTCCAAGAAAAAAAAAAAAAGTGCAATTTGACAATTATTCGGAATTTTCTTTTAATTAAACACTTGCTTTATATTGTTAAAATAAAGAATTTCGTGAAAACAATTTTTAGGAAGTGTATTTGTTAGGAATTCAATATACGACGTTTTATTATGTAATGTAATAAAATAATAAAACAATGTCCAGAACAATTATTGATAAAAACAATCAGTATCTATAATTTAAATTCGTATTTATGTAACGGATAGCGATATGACCAATAAAAAAAAGCAATTGCATTTTAAAAATGAAATAAATTTTTATTTTGTATTTAGTTTCTGAAAAAAAAAAAAAAAACTATACATATTCCACCAAGATGTCCAAAATTAAAACGTACGATCCCAATATTTGTCGAATGCTATACTATAATCAAACAGTTTCCATACATGTATGGTCTAATAAAATTGAATAGGTACCTAAATAATAAACCTAATGCACATTGAGTCACAGACCTTTTTCGAAACAACCACCGAGCGCACAAAACAAAAAAAATATTTGAAAACATGTACATATAGTATATACCTAATCATTACGGCATTTTCTAAGATTATTTTTATCGTACGAGGTAATCGTTTTAGGTCAATAGTTACAATATCAACTCTTACAAGGGACTACTGCATCATAATCCAGAAATCATATACCGTATAAATTACGTTAGTTTATAAGTAAGTATATAGTATTATTATACCGCCCAAATATTTACGAAAAGAAAGTACACTTATGCCGTTCGTCTAAATTTCGCAAAAGACAACAAATCAAATAAAAAATACACGTAGGTATTTATAGTTCAGCTTGCGTATAATGTATACATGCATATTCTTATGCACCTACAGTATTCTGTTTGTTTAATTCGAATTTTGCATATTTGATTATGGCGTTTCTTCGACAAGTGCAGTTTAATTCAATTTCCATTTAAAAAAAAAAAAACAAATACTTTAACATTTTTAAACGATTCAGTTCGGTGTCCTGTTGCGTGCGTTTGATTATACCGTTGATTTTGGAATAAAAATAAAATTATTAAGTTATCGAAAATACGCCATTTCGTGACGTATTTGCGGAGGCCGATGACGTTTATAGATCTTCAAGCACCCAATTACCCAAAGGTCAAGATTTAAAAATAAACTTGTAATTTAATCAATAAATGAGTAGTAAGAAAAACGATCGATTTCTTTTTCGACATTTTATAATATTATATCTAAAATCGACATTTGAAAACTAATCATATTTAATTGTTAACTTTTCGAGTTTAAAATCAAACACGTTTTTAAATTATAACATAAACCTACGACTATATAAATGCGTGTACTATCTCGTTTGTCGTTATTTTTCTTCAAAATTATTCAGACGAATCGTCTGACCCTTTTAAGTCTATAACGTATAAATGTCTAATTTAACGTCCAGCAATATAATATCTCGTTTATAAATATTATGGTTTAATGGTATAAAATAGGTGTATCTATATAGAAATACAATAACTCCAAATGTCTGCACATGTCCTTATACGCATTATGTATTTATTTTTTCGTTATGACACTTCATATAATTTTTGAACCTTTTAGATTAGGTACCCAATAATTTATTAGGTAAGGTTAACTATTAAAGGTCCAGTTATTTATTAGTAATAGGACCTTTAATACAATGCATATTTACTATGTTATCGTTTAGTAATAATTTCTGAAGATAATGTCAAGTAATGATAATATACATAATATTTTAATATACCCCAGTTTGTCGGTGAATTTTGTCCTGCCTACCTAACTACCGTCGAGAGAGAACCCGTGAAATATACGAGAAGTCATAATTTAATAATAACCTGCAACAAAAGTTCAACAGTTTTGTGCACTAGTACGGCTTGTGCTATTACAATACATTATAATACCGGTCTAAGCTTAAATAAACATTTGTTTTGGGACTTATAGGTCATGTAATAATAATTATTACATTGTCTATTACACACTATAAACCATATGGTACTGAAAATAGATACTCGTGTAATACAATGTGGTTCTCGATGCAGCGTACGATGCGTATGACCAACAAGACTTGAGCGTTTCGTATTATTGTACGCAGTATTATTATTATTATTATTATTACTATTGATGTTTGGGTTTATTCGGTCTCATGGACCATCCCGTCTCATAACCGATTTTCCATTCTACAGTCGGCAAATTCGTTCCACCTCTTATGCATCCACATAATTTTTTACTACGTTTCCCCATCTCATTCCCGACCATCCCAATGGTGGTTTATCTGCTGGATTCTGTTCCAGCTCTACCCGTAGTATAAACCGCAGATATTCTGTTTTGAACGGTATCTAAAAATATTATTTTCTCCAAACGTAATCTATGTTTCCTTTGACTTGTTATCCGTTTATGTTCAGCGTTATTACTTCAACACGTCAATTATTTATCGAGGATTGGAATTTATAATTTGAAAACCGTTATCCTAGTGACGGAAAACATTATAACGTAGAAATGTACGGATCGATGAGCGGATGAGACGTACGTTGCACTCGACTGCGTTGTTCGTCAGTAATATCATAGTCATTCGCGCCGCACCGTCACTAAGTATGTGTATTCGAATAATATTATTATAGATATAGGTGCGTAGCCACATGAAATATTTACATGAAAATAATAACAATAATAATTATACGTTTATGCATGCAGTTACACATGCAACACACACATCCAATACATATGAACGCGTAGAAACTTGACCCACGAATGAAAATAAATATATAAAGAAATATTTTTAAGGGTTGAAGCAATAGTCGATGTACTCGTGCGTATGTGTGTGTGTGCGTGTGTGTACGTGTGTGTGAGTATATAGGGGGATGTTGTGTATATAGCACGCAGGAATACATTGTGTTCTCGTGGCCTTGTTAGTTTTGCGACTAACGCTCTTATGTACAAGAGTGAATATTCCATTGTGCACCTCGCATATTATACTTTTTCTCTTACACTTCTCTGTATAGCATTGTACACGCTATTTGTGAAAAGGTTTTTAATATTATGTATATAATAAACTATCATATGCATATGCATTATTGTTCTACGTATACGGTATACATACTGTTCAGGCATACATCACTGACCATTTTATACAATATTATTATTGATTGAGACCTGTCAGACCTGTGCCCGTTGTTTATATTTGACAAATGGCCGGCCGTGCTTGATTTGGAGGCGACGCAGGGGAAATTCGTGAGTACCCCGATTAGTTCGCGCATTTTAACATATAAGTAAACGACTTTATCTCTTCTTCATTTTTTTAACGATGCACCGTTTCCGCTAACAAGCTGCCCTCTTCTTAGATTAGTTCAAAAGTTATCTTACTATAGTCAATTAACGAAAACAGACAAGTTATAGAATTTAATTTCTATCAGTACCTATATCTACCTGCAATGATTAAGTACCGATAATATCGATTTTGTTGGAAAATAATTTCTAGACTTTTTTTGGGTTTTTCTGCGGAAAACACACTTTTGGTTAGTCAATATGAAAATACTCCAAATTATTATACCGACTAGTAATTGTATAAAATAAAAAAATTATTATTAGTATTATAAAAGAATATTAGTGAAATACCGTTTTTTCGGAGACGTTTGTGTTACCCATAGACCACTCAAATATGAAAGCTGAGTACATATTTACGTAAACAAATAATTTTATTACAATAGCTCTTTTGGACATTTCCAAACACATTTAGTTTTTGATTTTATTATTTATTGACTTAATGGGTTTACTTTAAACAAAATAGATTTTTTCAGCATCTTATATTATGTATCACGTAGTTGCAGTGATTCGTTACTTTTGAGTTTGATTACACTATACAGAAAAGTGCAGTGTTTGATAGGGTGAAAAGAAATTATAAGAAAAAAAATGGTAAATCATGAGTAGTTTTTTAAAAGGAATAGGATTCGCTGAATATCTAAAACCCATTAAGAAACCATTACCACTAGATTGTTGCATTTAAAACACAAATCAGCCAATGATAACAACGTATTAGGACGCGGCGTTGCAACCCGGACTGTCATTCATACTGGCTAGGTTCACGGGCATGTTTGATCCGGAGAATAAACCCGGTCAGTAATCCAGAGAGAGAATTATCTAGAAAAACATTTTTTTAATATCGGGCAAAAACCTGACGCCCAGCCAGATCTCGTGGCGGATCACTGATTATTATTATTGCGTTTGTAATGTATTAGATAATATTTTTTTGGAAACTGGACGGACTCCAATACGGTCCGACCCCGGAACAGTGGGAATGGTACGTAATACTATTCCATATAGAATCGGTTTTTGATTGTTTCAGTTAGTATAATATATATGGATTAATTAATTGTGTATCATTGGCATTTACACAAATTTACATTTGAAACTTTCCCTACCTACTACAATATGAAGTACGTCTAGATTTTTAAATCTTAAATTGATTTTCGGTGTGGTTATAATGTGTAACAATAGTTCACATGAGATGATGGATTTTTTTTTACATTTCTTATTATATTTATATATATGGGTGCCCATAAACATGGACACCCATTGGGGGGACAAGAGAGGAACATGTCCCCCCTAGAAAATAATAAAGTATCAAAAAAAAAATTATGTATACTTGAATCCATCAAAATAAAGGTTATTATATTCTTTATATTGATGATGATGACCATCATGTTATCAGTAAACGCGTATTATATGCGTCTATGGCAACCGGGCGTGCTTAGCATAGATAATACAATTTTTCTATTATTTATATAACCTGTGATAAAAATTATAGCGTATTTTACATTTTATAGGTAAACGAAAATATGAAATTAGGTAATACGTATTTAAAAGTGTATTGCACATTGTCATATTGTGTTTAGTCTTCAGTGTTAATTTATTTATTGTTTATTATATTATTGTCCATAATAAATTTATTGAAATGAGTAAATTGGAAAAATATAATATATTTACTCCGAAACGTCAAAAGCCAGAAACTTCTTTGTCTGTACACGAATATAGGCGTAAATTATTATTTCTTATTTGGTATTACAATTATCGTTTATTTATAATTGTTCACTTATTGTAGAGTGTATAAGAACGTGTAGGGTCTGTAGAAAGTAAACTATAAACAGCAGAATATTATAATGTCTTGATTTTAGCATTTAACAGTTTTTTTTTTTTTTTTAAAGCTAATGTTTACCTAATTACATACCGGCCGTTTCTTTCTCATTCCTTTTTAAGAAATACCAACCAAATTTTATAAACAAAAAAAAAAAAAAAAGATAATAGTATCTACATGCTATAAATAGGTTTAGAATCTAGTTTTATTTTGTTCCCCAACTTAAAATTACCCTATGGGCGCCCTTGTGTATATTATATGCATGCATGTTCTATGTATTATTTCTATAAGAATTTGTTACATTGATATTATAATTATTAACTAGTTAATGCTTAAGTATATTCAATATGTTCATAATAATTAACGTTACAAGTGTATTATCATTATACTCTTACATATTTGGCATTAAGTTTTAAGGATTTCAAAATATCGAGCGTAAAATATGATGTGCAGCAGTTTACTCGTGGATTATTCCTTTTTTTTTTTTTTTTAGTATAAAATATTATTAACTATCATGGATGTGCTGTCAAAATCTAACCGATTTATTAACCAACATCTCTGCACGACGATGTATGTACGAATGATTGATTGACAAAAGACTTTGCCCCTTTGTACATTTGTATTTCATGTTAATATTATACTCTAATGAATTTTGTCAATTAAGCATGTTTTACATACTTAAGATTATGTTATTAGTATCATTAAAGGCGAAAACATTGTCACGCCAATACAACATTTGTATTTTGTATTATCAATTCATTTAGATATAAAAACGTATTTTTTTGATTTATTTTGATTTTTACATATTACAACTAGGTTTATTCTTAAGTATTCAATGTGATTTTTTTTTTAGATTCTGAACGGAGTGAGGAATTTATTGGTTTACAATGATATTTTTTTTTTTTTTTATGTGAACACTTTCTACCAGAAAGCTTACTCCGATTATCAAGTATAGCGACTTTTCTGAAAGGAAATGTACTCTGGGTGATACTTTAAAGAGGTGATTTTTTGAAATCCACATTAATATTTGAGATAATGAGAAAAACCTGGTTCTTTACGTTAACAATGGTTAACAAATTAAAAATAAGGTTATCATCGAAAACCGTTTTTAATTATTTTTTATTGTTATTAATTTTTTTTATTTTAATATTTTTTAAACAATCATTGTTGTCATGGAAATGCATATTGTTGTAATAATATTACCATAATATGGTACATACCTATATATTGTTGACAAAGCAACACTATCAACTAAACTGCACTCAGAATTGTTTTTTCGTTGACAATTGTTTATTGTTGCTTATAGATATACATTGAATTCTCATCTGTATCGAACGTTCCCAGCTTTTCACCTACAACAGTCACTGCCCCCACGTGCGAAGTATGTCCGTGTTTTTTTATGAATTACTTAAAAAACAAAACTGGAATAAAAAAAATATATAAAATCGAGCATCGACGTTAGTCGTTTAATGTACTTAATATTTTTCTTATAGGTACTTAAAGTACTTAATTTATATGGCAGCCGACAAGCACGGTATATAATGTCTTTCGTCACTTCTTGTCATTGAAAATAAAACCGGCGAATAGTTCAATTCTTACAATAAATTATGAACACCTATCGTTTTTTTTTTTATTTTTTTGCCATTTCACTTGTCATTTTCAAAGACCGCTTGATTTAGTGACATATCATAGTCCACTACATAATATTATAGCAGTCGTTAGAGACGACTTTAATCAACTGAAAATGAACGTTAAACAATTCTTAGTTGACGAAACAAAAATCACGTTTCGAACGCTACGATAAAAAAAAAAAAAATTATTACACGATACGTATTATTGTAAATACTTTTATATCATTCTGAATTTTAAAAAGTAAAAAAAAAAAAAAAAATGATAAAAATCCGTTCGATTACATAGGTCGATGAAGAACGGCTAGGTTAGCGTTTACGAATTGAACATTTATCGTTTTTTTTTTTTTTGTCATTTTTGACAAATTCAAATTTGATTCGGGCACGCTTGAACGCGTTACCGCGCGTCTATATGCAAGTTTTCCATTCATTACGGGACAGCGTAAAGTTCGAAGCATACACGACATATTTAAATTTGTCCACGTTCCGACGCCGAGCATCACTGGCGCTCGTGATTTCGGTCCGGTTAACTGCATATTTTGTATCACTCAAGCGTGACATTAAAGTCATCACCTATATGCGCACCCGCAGTTGCGGAATGCGTCGTTCATTATGCTTTCGGTGTTCTCCGTATGCAAATTCGCGCGGCGCGGCGGCGTGTGTATCGAGACACACACGAAGTTAGATTAAGTAATTACGAGGTTAGCACACGCCCACGCACACACACACACACGCACACACACGCACACTAGGTATAATAATTATATAATAAGTGAATGCGCGACGGAAAAGTAACTCAAGTTCGCCGTCGACGAACCCGCGCAAACCGTATTAAAAATACACAATAATAATACGATTATCTATAACCGCGCCAATCGAAGTTTTTCGAACGGTCCGCCGCGTCGTCCGGCTCTGACGCGGGGGCACGCGCGCCGCCCGCCCAAAAACGTTGACGTTAACACGGGCGTCCGGGAATCCGCGGATAATATTCGCGCGCGTCATTATAACGGCGCAATATTTACGGGGCGGAACGCGCGCGCGCGCGCTTGTCGGACGGGACCGATTAACGGCCGTGTTCAAACGACACTAATGTGTTACGTTGGGTCGTGCAGAGGCGCTCGGGCGAAGGCCGGCGCGCCGCACGCGCGATACGTACACGGCGATCGGTAAACGACAATAATGCCGCTCCCCCCCCGCGCGCCACGGGTGACAATATCGCGTGCGAACAGATCCGCGGCACCGAAATACGCGTTTTTTCTATCCGAGTATCCGAGTGTGACTTTCGCGGCCGAACGCGTGCGCGATTAAACATACGGTTTTCTTGTACGCGGAAACGTCACGTTCGAGTGGCGCTCGGTTCTTCACGGGGCGCTCCGACCGACAGAACCCGTCTCCGTCGTCGTAAACGATTTCCCGGGATACAACCGTCTAAAATTTACGGAAATCTACGGAAATTGTGATTTTTCTGAAAAATTCAAAATGCATCGATGCGTGACTTTGAAAACAGAAAAAAAATCAAAAAAATCTGATTATTGTTTTATAGGAATAATAAAATTGTAAACAAAAACAATCACGGAATGGCACGTACATAATATAGAAATATACGCTAATGTTATGTGTTTTATGTTTCTTTGAAAAATCGAAAAAAAAATATATCATATTTCCAATCATCTTTATAAAATATGACGGCTAATCATATTTTATAAATATCTAAAGTAATTATTGTTTTCTTCTCAATCTTTCTCATGTGGCCCTTAATACTTTCTAAGAGCTTTCACCGTCACCCTTAATACTCTCTACCTAGGTGTTTTCTTCGTCACCTTTAATACTCTCTAAGAGTTTCACCGCTGAAGTAATTTTTGTGATAGAAAAAATTGTTGCCAATCAAAGTTTCTTGAGACAATTATTATGAGAATATTAGAACCCGATGCTAAAACGGGTGTTTTAATTTTAGGAAATGTAAGTTATTTTGATATTAATCACGTTCCCCCCTCCAAAAAAAACTCCATTTCGATTTTTGTCCATCCGGTTGAAATATTTTATGTAACCATTTTACCGTTTGAGTAAAACATCTGTATTATTAATAAACAATACTAATTTAATTCACACTTCTTAATGTCGCGGACGGGTGGATTTCGATTTAAAAATATTGTTTCGACGGCCGAATTTTTCTCACTTGTAATAATAATAATAATTTTAAAGGAACGTGTTTAGAAATTTCCAAACTTAAATTCCATGAAAAAAACCAAGTAACAAACGTCCCGCAGAACTCCACTACTTAAAAAACTTTAAGTCAACTTTTTAATCTTGATTTTTTATAATTCCTGAATTTTATTTTATTTTTCATACATATTGTTTACGCGGAAGGGGGATTTAATTCTTACAAAAAAAAAACGAAAAAAAAAAACAAAAGAAAACTCGGAGTATAATGGAATGTTTTTGTATAATAAGCCTATATAACATTTACTTGGCCAAACATTTTTTTTTTTTTCAAATTCATACGCATCTTTCGAACACTTTGTACATAGATTAATATTCCTGCCCGAACTGATAACAATAGGTCACGGGGTTTGTCACACAATTGGTTAATTGATGACATCATGCATCCTTTAGATATAACCCCATTATATTCGAGTGTTTTATTAATAGTCGAGCGTGTATCCAAACAATACCTTCGCTCAATAGTTTTGAAAATTTGACGTCCGTCCGGGGAGCTGCAGGTGTGGCTAATTAAATTCGATAAAAATAATAAATAAAATGTTTCCTTAGACCATTTATCACGACCTACACCGAACGCGATTCGTGCAATTTAACGGCGGGTGGAGGAGGGGTGGGACGGACCACCGTAGATGTCATGCATCCAATAATTTACAATTAAAGCCGGACATTAATATTTTAAAAAATTGTAGTTTTCGCGTGAAATTTAATAATGTTATTACATATAGGTTATAGAGGTACCTTTATGCCGAAATCAAATGTCACGCATAATAAATAATGTCTCGGTGTCAACATATTACAGATAATAATGATAATAAATAACGGACAAAAAAAAAACGGATATTTGGGTTATAGCATGGGGTATATACCACCTGGGTGGGTGTACTTTTTTATATTAAATTCGGAAGATATACGCAGTGTAATGAATTGCGAAATCAATTTTAAATGGAACTATTTCTAGTTTTTTTTTTTTTTTTTTTTTTATAAACATTTTTTCGATTTGTCAATTTAAATTTTGTTTCAAAAATCAATAAAATATTTCGATTGCTAAACCGAATGTATAATTTTGTTAGATTTAATTTGACATTCGACTCGTTTAATATATTACCGTCGTTATTAATAATTGAATAAGTACGTATAAGAAATTATCGTAAAATTAAAAATCAATCATCATTATACATGCACCTTTTGTTGATACATATTATTTTCAAACTGATACTATATTATATTTGTATAGATATTTTGGACTAATATTTGTTACAATAAACGCTGTAAGTACTGTAAAAGAAATTCAGTGAATAATGCTTGAGATTAAAGAAGTAAATATAATAAATTGTTTAAAAAATATCTTTGAATTGCAAATTCTTTTTCAATATACAAGCACAATTCGATTTTTTTTTCATCACTATACATTCATCAATTATATATAATATGTATTTAAAATTTTTATTTTTCATGACCATAAACAATATTATACTTTATTTAGGTAAGTAATCAAAATAAGCATTATTACAATTCATATCATATCAGAGTAGATTAAATCACAATAGATACATGAACGATCAGAATGGTTTTCATGTAAAATCACAGATTTATTAACAACTAGATCCTAGCCGATTTCATGTTATTAGAGAGAGACGCCAACAAAAAGAACTATTTTTTTTTTATCAAATAGGTCTGTGTTTAAATTTTTACATGTTAACCAATTTAATTATATTCAAATTTGATAAGTATATGATTTGAAGATAAATGTTTACATTCTGCCTACTAAAAGTTGTTATGTAGGTAATTAAAACACAGGTTTAATTAAAATAATTAAATAGTTTAGTAATACACATGAAAATTAACCAATACCACTTACAGAAACGTTTAGTAGGTATAGTAAATTTTTCAGACACACTGTCGATTCCTTGTTTCTTATCGATATCGTTGGCTAACACTATAGTTTTATATAGTTAATAGAGTTTGTTTTATAAGTTTGATTAACTGGCTATTTTGCAACATATCAACAATAATAACAATAGGAATACATATCTGAAACACGAATAAAAAGAACAGGATTCTCAACGAATTTTAACAAACGTACCAACTTTCTCAATGGCTTTAGTAGTACCACTACGAACTCTAGTATTCCGGGAAAATTAAAAATACCATGGTTATAAATGGTAAATTGTGTAGTATGGGCCATTTATCCATAATTACAGCTAACCTTAAAAAAGCCGTACTAATAATGTGTGATAATGGCGGGTTACAAACATAGATAATATATTGGTACATGAGGGTAAGACATGAGTATGTTATGAGTATATATATATATATATATATAAAACAACTAGATAGCCAACTTCGGTGTTATTATTATCGTCAATAAAATGGCCACTATCCTTATATAAGAGATGCGTTATTATGATTTATGGTATTGATAAGGAACAATTTTATAATATTTAAATACCTATTACGTGCATTGCACAGTGTTATATTTTGACGTACGGTAAAGTTTTTCATGTTTTACTACATCAGTATAAATTTAACTTAATATGATAATGTTATAAAGTTTTTTTCACTCATTACTCAATTCAATGCATATTACCAACACTACATCTGTGAATACCATACATCCTGGAAACAAAAAACACATATTTTGTTTTTAAATATAATATTTTAAAATTAGTGGTAGCTATTTCAGTTTGTAATAATTTATTTATTATTTATCTTTAATAATAGTATTTAATGAATGCATACATTAACAACGATTACCATTATAGATAATCCATTATTACGCTCTGATTGACTTGCCTAAACGTAGCGAATTAAAGTTGAGGACACACTACTCAGTACTAAAAATATAGTTAAAAAACGTTAATTACATTCATTGTGAATCCTTTTCTTTTATCCGTGATTCCAACATTATACAGCATAATATGAACTCAGCTCTTATCATTCAAAAAAAAAAAAAAATGTAAATATGGATTTCTTTGATAAGAAATGTTAACCCTTTTTTTTACTTCAACATTTTATACTATGTGTTATCCAACGGCAGAGTCGGCTATCCAGTTGTTTATATAATGCCTGTGTGATATGCTTACTACCTTCTCATTTATTATAGATGTCATCACAGATGTCGCAATTTATCCATATTGAAATGGTGAAATTACGATCGTTGTACTATTATAATTATTACGCTACGTTATAGTTATATGAAATAATTTAGACGATTGACACTACTCCGCGCTAATAAGTATACTACCCGTGTTAATACTCATCAGTGTCCAGTTCTGGTATTAATTTTAATTAATGGATTACTCGATTTTCAAATTATCGTAAAACTTTTGTGACTTTCGGTCGATACTGCCGAACAGAAACAATTTTTTCAAAAAAAAAAAAAAAAAAAACGGAAACGTAATATATTTCGAGGGGGTACCAATTTTTCGGGGNAATTACATTCATTGTGAATCCTTTTCTTTTATCCGTGATTCCAACATTATACAGCATAATATGAACTCAGCTCTTATCATTCAAAAAAAAAAAAAAAAAAAAACGGATACGTAATATATTTCGAGGAGGTACCAATTTTTCGGGGAGCATGGATATCTTCGTCGTAGTAACTATATTGTATACCTTACCTATATAATAACACTACAGTTTCTTTTTTTTTTACATTATTATATCTACCCACACAGTTGCGCTTCCACATATCTATCGTGGGTTATATACATTCTCCGCGAACCACCAGAATCGACCGTTGACCGTGTACCTTTTTGAATCCGTTATATCGGCGACATTATCCTATTGGGTTGGCCGACGCGGTTGTTCTGTATAACGATTACGCCTTTCGGTCCCACGAGTTTTGGTCCTGTAAGTGTAGTACCTGCCTATACACTCTCCTTAAAATATAATAATGTACATAAGAAGGGTCGTTGTAGATCTTTCCTCGAGGACCCTTTTTTGCGGTGCCGCTTGGGATTACAAATCAACAAAGGTCATACTGATATTAGACTTGTGTAAGTATTACCGTATTAGGTATGTATACTACCTAGGTATCTACAAATAATAGGATGCTAAACTATAATATGTTGGTTAAGGGGAGATTCTCGGTTTAATATTCAGATTTTTATCTAATATTAGTTATACTGCCTATACTATTTCGTTTTAAGTATAGCCAACCTATCATACAATTCAACATAAAAGTTCTGGTGGCGTCAATAAACATTATCCTGTTCGAATTCGATGATCAAACACAATTTTTTTCAAGCTTTCTTTTTGGCTTTATAAACAGTTCAACAGCCAAGCAATGGATTCCATAAATTACGTATGTGGCTTGTTTCAAGTAGGGAACGTTAATGCACCACGCGGACGCATATTTTGCACATGTGGATACTCTCAAAGCTGTAACTCGTTATGATACACCTGATAAAACGTAGCCAAGGCTTGGCTACACTCACCTACTCGAGTGCGAGCTCATTTTGAACTATTAATCGCAAATAACTCCTGATTTATAAGCAAAAACGCGTCAGGTAAGTAACAGAAAAAATAAAATAAAAACAAAATTGGTTAGAATAGTCGGATTTGAATCCCGATAACCTTTAGTTGGAAAACAACGCGATAACCAGCTAAAACACTATGCGAGCTTAGAGATTCTATCGATTAGATTACCTATACAATACACGAGTGCTATTTACTGAAGGTATCAAATCGAGTGAAATTCTGAGTGTACCTATATTTGCAAATTGCGCTACTACTTCCCTTCCCGGCTTGCTCCCAAAATATTCGTTGACTATAAGAACGAGATTTTTTAGTTCAATATTATACTTACAACATTAAATTCAGCGATACATACAATAAATTACTGCTGGTAAATTCCGCGTAATGAGCTAGTTTACTCGTACCGAAAAAGTATGGAAAAACGATTGCGTGATGCTTTGCGGCGGACAAATATTTTGCAATTCACACGAATCGAATCGCGAAACTTTTCGTTTCGAATAGTATTTAAATATCTACAAAAAAATTATTAAATATATAATAAATAGTGGTTTTTTAATATAAAAGTTAACAATTTTATTTTAATTGACTTCCATGTAAACAACTAAAATATACGTGGAACTATCCTTGAGTGAAAAAAAAAAATTCTCTTGTGGCACATAATATTATGTTGTGATATATACGCATCGTAAATTGTGTTTTATGGATTTCCAAATTAAGTACATGATGTATTGAAAGCGTTGGAATAGTAGTGCAAAAGGTAATACTTTCTAAAGTTATGAAACTAAAAAAATTAAGTGTTATCAAAAGTAAAGATAAAAATTATGAATTATCGGCCGCGCGAGTCCTTGATATAAAATATATTGTAATTCATTTCAGATTGTGCGCTATATACTATAGCACTTTATACATAGCAATATAATAAAGTATCGCTATTATTATTATTATTTTTTTTTTTTTTTTTTTTTTTTTTTTTGTAAGGACTGATCAATTGATAAGACTTTTGTTTGAAAAATAAAAATGAACTAGATTTTAACACAATGCAATTCTTACCTTTCTGCGCGGTGTATGAAATGAACGAATACCCTCATAATATATACCTACTTGTTTTGTATTTGTATACCATGTTTTTTAGTCGTATAACCCTTTTTCTTGGCATTAATTCGGGTTTACTCGTTGATAGCATGCCCGTATCATAATAATAATAATACGAGTAATACATGCTTTACATTATTATATAACTAACCGTATAGATATATTATAGTACCTACCGCGGGTATACCTACTATTGTTATTGTGAAATATTACCTAGGTATACTTAGTATTTCATATAGATTTTTTTACCGTATTGGGACGAAGATTTTTTAAAAAAAAAATATATAGAATAGATAGATACTACTCGTCCGTATGACTGTATTATATATAGATACGTATTTTAGAGTCTAAATCACAATGCTATAATGTTGATAATTTCATAATATGTTATAACATTGATTTCAAGTCTATAATAATACATTATGTCTCTATTTTTGAAAATGTCATAGCCCGTAATACCTACCTGTATACGTTTGTTTGTACATGTACAATAGATTATTATCTTTTTTGGGGTAAGGTTTTAGTTCATTTTTTGTCTTTTTCTAAAAAAATAATTGTATCTTAATATACAATTTCGTTCTCTTTATTTCGGTTATACTACTTTGATTTGAACGGCATAAGTGTATGTATTTTCAAAAACTAATTAGCTCGTATCGAAAACTATACTAATTTAAATTAGCCATTCTTCTCTGGCTTAAGATTTTTTTTTTTTTCATCTCCATTTATTACATTAATAAATCAATACATACAATGATTGAATTTTTAACCTACCTGCGATAAGAATTATGTTTGTGTTGGAAGGTTGGAGAGTTAAAAATTGCATAATATACAAGCACAATACACTAGTGTTAGTTGGTGGGGGGGAATAAAATAAAAAAAAAAAACAAAAATTAGAAATGAACTTTAACAGATATTTATTTTTAAGAATATAGTTTTAAAATAAATAAAAGAGAGACTAGTATACAAAATATTATTACCAGATGATCCATTTAAGTGGGTACACTCATTATTCGGAAAGTATTAACTTTTTCTTTTTTCCGGATTTTGTTTTCTAGAAAATTTATGAAGCAATCAGCTCTACAATTTTATATTTATGTTATTTTTTGTCACCCTTATTTGAGGGGATAAAACCACTATCTACTCGCCACAGGCCTTAACGCCACACAAATGATAATCTACTACTTTCCTCCAACCCAAAATTAAAAGTGGAATATCTCGTAAACGGATCGACAGAAATCAAAAGTGTCAACACTAAAATGTATTTTAATCAATAATCCATCTATTTATGGAATTTGTAATATTGGTTGCCATTGGAGAATAAAAAATAGATAGGGGTTATATCCCCAAAAATAAGGATGACAAAAAATAACATAAATATAAAAAAGTAGAATTGCTTGTTTTTTAAATGCTCTAGAAAACAAATACGTAAATAAGTTCCGAGATAATGAGTGTACCCACTTAACCGGATCACTCGGTATATTAGTAGTTTCGTATCTCAATATTGATACGGTCGAACGGTCTACTCTACATTGTATGTTAATAATAATATGATAGTTAAGGCCTATTTTTCATATTCCGTACGTAGTTTTTTTTTCAATAAAGTTCACGTCCACCTTTTACATAAAATGTCAACTCTACATTATTTTCTTACGGAAATGTCCACTGGGTTGACCTTTTTGCAAATATTAAGAAAATAAAACACCGTGTAAATTAGCTAGGTACCCATCACCTATATATTATTAGATACTTACCGTCTTTTATTCAATCTATTTCCGTTTTCATGTTGGTTTTGTACAACAATGTAACTCCGTAGGTGTCTGCTATAGTTTTTGGGTTTTTAAGAAATTATAACACTTAATATAATTAATTTCTGCATAGATATTTTTCATTTCGAATCTACTTACCGAAGTTCACTCGTCTGTGTTATAATCAAACTTCCGTATCAGTATATCATACACGAGATCAATGATCTGTAAGTTTAACATTGTTTATATTGTTTACCTACATAAATTTATATTAAATTCTATTAAGGCCAAATATAAATATCGTATAATATTTCAGATTCTGTAGAATAAATGTTGAGATCGATATTATAAATTGATATAATTTATAGTTTATTTCCGTAAATAACTTTTTTCAGACTCCCGTTTCCCCGAGAAAATCACTTGACAATATTTTCAAATCAACCATATTATCTCTTGACTTAATAATAATTTTATTCGTATACTATACATTTCGCTGAACGCTCTTAATGTATTTTCTGATATAATCGAGTTATATATTTTATTAGAATGGACAATAAATATTTTTCATAAATATTTTTCTTAGAAATAATTTATGTTGTTTTAATTCAATATGTTAATTTAGAAAAATAAAATGTTTGTTAATGGCTTTTGTACTCTGATTTAGTATCAATTTCAAACAATTCTATTGTGCCTATTATACACCGGCTGTTTCGTTTTTATTGTTGTACCTACCTAAATCGATTTTACCAAAGAAAAGAGTTTGTTGGTTGCATACTGATGTGATTTTTTTTTTCTCAAACTTTGGGTTTGATATTGGTATTTTTTTTATTTTTTCAATGCGTACACAAAAAGGATCTCGCGATTTTTTAAAACACATTTCTAAAACAACTTAAACTCACCTGAAAAAAAAAAAAGCTATAATAAGATAAATCCAGTGAAATAGTATTATCAAAAATACTATGGTTTAACATTCGGAGAATAAATATTTATAAATACCTCATTAAAAGTTAAACAAAGACTTATTTTTTACTGTAAAACAAACGAAATAGAATGGAATTAAAACTAAATGTAGGTAAGAATATCAATAATATAGGTATAGATATGTATACAATAATGGTTTAATTTATAGATAAAAAAATAGACACAAATAAAACGAATTATTTACAAACAATTTAGAACTGTTGATTTTCCTCTTAAAATGTACGTATAATTTTTACAAAATCATTGATTTATGAAAACAAACCAAGGACAAATAATTTTGTACATGGTCAGAATAAGATTAGATTCTAGTCTAAAGATTATTTTTTTATATTCTGTAATTTTATTTCCAATTTTTGGGTAAGCCACAATTGAAAAAAAAAATAATGTCACATTAATCATCAGCTATAGAATAGTTATAAAACTCAGATACTTTAAAATGTTATTTTTAAAATTTTCAAATGGTTTAAAATCATAAGTATATTGGTTCATAGTTTTAAAATTACAAACAAATGATTAATAACAGAATAATAATAATAATATTTTAACTGCCTATATAAACTCGATCGTGTTTATTATACGATATCTACTAAAAAATAATATTTGATAAGAATAATAAATTATTGCTATTTAATTTTAAAAAATAAAATGTAAACCAATAGTGATTTTTGCAGATTAGTGCTATACAATAAAATATGTTCTGTAGGTAGCCAATCGCTTTGTATACTTTTTTTCTTTTAATGTATAAACTTATATTCATTTATTTTAAACTTTTATAGTTTTATGTCATGGAATTTGTTAATTAAAATAAATTCAACGTGCAGTCTGAATATAGTTTATGTTTGAAATTTCTTTTACGCTTTGATGAATTATGATGATCAACTTAGATTTTTTTGCTATTTAAGATTAAATTCAGTTTATGATTTATTAATATTATTTATACGATAAAACAAGATTACAGATTTAGGAGCCACGATCGCAATAGACGGTAAGGAAGTCCAAGAAATAAAACAAACACACTCGTACGTCAGCAAACACTGCTTTCAGTAAAAATGTCATATTATGTTGACACCAAAGAAATTAAGCCACATAAATATCAAGAAAAGAGTCTCTTCAGAAAATTCGTCGGAAATATAGTATTATATGATTATGAAACTTGGTCATAAAAGTAGTTGAAAACAAGGCGTAAGAAGAACTTGGGGTACTGGAAGTGTATGCAAAATATAAATAGGATAGAGCAAAAAACCAACAATGGAGTATTTATCTACTCGAAACAGTCTTGAAGGATCTCTAAATTAATGGACACTACCATATTGGTGGCTTACATAGATATCCAGAATAGCTACATAGTATAGTAATAATAGTAGACATAATAGAAGTAAAAAAAAAAATAATAATAACGAGACGACATCGTAATTTGTACATTGACAAGTTAAAAGAAATACAGAAGGCCAGGGGCACAAGAGCCTAAATAAAGCTAAAACAAATGCCGAATATCTGTTTGGAACAGATAAGCACTTTTGGCCAACATATGGGTTGAAAAAAAAATAAGCAATTATAATAGTAGGTACTTAAAGCGTATTTTGTTAAACATGTATACAGTAATAATATTATACCAGATAAAATACCAATATCTAATAAAAAAAATAATAACAATAGTAATAATAAATCATATAAGACAATAACGGTAATAAAACTCTGTGTTTATTGTATTTAAAATTAAATTGCAAGTTAAACATGTTGTCGTTACATTCAATTTTCTACGGGCTTGATATTAATTCAAAAATTTCGAGTTACTAGAGGTATTATTATTTGTATTTACCGAAATCAAATATTATTTTGGTTTCTTACAAATATTTTAAATCGCGATATTCGTTCCGGAATTTTTTTTTTGTTAATATTCTTCGGTGTCCAAAACAAATACATGTCGTCAAATATAACAAGTATCATGAATAAAAACTTACTTATCGATTGTATGCATGTAAAAATCATGTGCGGTTACACAGGTGGTTTTAATCAAGTTGCTCATTAATCATTATTTAATAATTTGACCATTAAAAAAAAAAATCTAAACTATTTAATTGAAAAAATTAAGCTTTAAAAATTAGAAAGAGAATAATTGATTTATAATATTATTATTAAAACGATACATTTAAATACAAACATTTATTTTAACCTCTTTAATTAATTCTCATTCAATTCATACGAAAGTAATCGAAGAGTATGACTATTTCCTATATTTTGGTACCTAGAAAGTATAATTTTGTGCATAATTTAATACTTAATACACTCAAAAGTTATAAAATTGATCTCGGAGAAGAAGAGCTTAATTCAATTTTGTATTATATATATATTTTTTTTGAAGTAAATTCAATTTTAAAAATATGAATGTACTTCGCTCGATGGGTGGGCTACTGTTGTAGGTGAGAAGTTGGAAAGGTAGAATATAGAAAGGAATTTAATTTTTTAAATGTAATGATAAACTATTGCTAACGAAAAACGATTCGGACTGATGTATTATTTTATACATGTACATACATTTTCTCATTTTCTACAGTTTTTCCGGATTTATCCATTTATTCTAAAAACCCCTGGGAAAAAAATGACCTCACCTAAAGTACCACTCCAATCAGATTCCATTTCAGATAAAGTGCTACGCTTGAAAATCGAATCCAAAATTCTGGTAGAAAAATTGTTCACATAAAATCCAAAAAGACTTTCTTTATAAGCATATAGATACAAAAAGCAACAAAAAAAAAAATTCTAGGCATTAATATTTACTGTTTTACCAAAAATGTTGTTTCTGTTTTTTTCACAATTCTTTTGAAAACCCTTTTAAAACTCAAACAAATTATATCTGTAATACACCAACAAGATAAAATTTGTTTTAGCAAAAGGTTCCACACTTTGTGCATCCAAAAAATGTTTTCTTTTCGAAAACTTGTTTACAGACAGAAAAAAACCATGAAAACATAGTAAAAGCAATCGATCCCTCACTATATTCCGAATTCAAAATAATATCATTAAACAAATTGTTAAAAAACCACAGAATATATTTCTATACTATAATGTGGTAAGTGTTACTTTAGGGAGGCCATTTTTGAATTTCTCAGTTGATTTCTCGATATATTCGAAAAACTGGTAAAAATTGAGAACATGTACGAATGTATAGCAAAATATTACGGCCTTTTTTTTTTTGACCAACTATTCTACCTGCAATTTCGTTCCAATTTACCTTGATAGAATTTTTTCTAAAAGAAAGCTTGACTGGGGAGCTACTATAAAAAGGTAATTTTTTTTTTCCCCCGGAGTTTTCTCAACAAATTTGAAAAACCAAAAAAAAAATAAAACGGAGGAAAATCGGTAAAATTGGATTAATATTAAACAAATATTATTAAAGATGATATACAGAGTGATCAATCTATTGTAAGACATTTTTTATCTAGTAACGTATTATATTTTTTTAAATTGGTTTTAAAGAACATTTAAAAAACTAGCTGTTATAAAATTTAACATTTACATTATTTTTTGTCACCATAATTTTTGGGATGAAACGACTACCTACTTGTGATTTTCAAATGGCAACCTATACTGAAAATTTCATAAATAGATGGAATAGTAGTTAAAATATATTTTTGTGTTTAAATTTTAAATTTTCAGATATTCCAGTGATATTTTAATTTAAAGATTGGATCAGGGGAGAGTAGTGGAGCATTAATTGTGTGGCGGCACAGCGCACGACGTTTTAATAATGTACCACTACTCTCTCACAACCATAACTGAATAGTGGAATACATTGTCAATGGATTGGAAATTAAAAATTTAAACGCCAAAATTTATTTTAACTACTAATCCATGTATTTATAAATATTTTATTATCGGTTGCCATTTGAAAGTCAAAAGTAGATTGTAGTTTTACCCCTAAAAATAAGGGTGACAAAAAATAAAAATAAATATAAAATTGTAAAGCTGCTTGTTTCTTAAATTTTGTAGAAAACAAAATCCAGAAAAAGTTAATACTTTTCGAGATAATGAGTGTCTTATGATCACCCTTTATAATGCTTATTTAGTTATTTTACCATAATATGACATATATATTGTTGACAAGTCATCATTATCGACTAAACTCTCTTCAGAATCGTTTTTCGTTAACTATAGTTTATCGTTGCTTACAGATATACATTAAATTCCTGTTTGTATTCTTCCTTCCCAACTTTCCACCTACAACAGTGACTGCACCCGTCCCCATTATCCTAAGACAGCTTTTTATTAATTTTCTTTGAAATGCTTCGATAAAAGGAATAAAAAACACAAATTTCAACTGATTTTTATTGCGGTGTGTACATTTAATCGAAAACGACCTAAATTTTGCTTTTCAGTTAATACAGTTTTAGTAAGTATATAATTTTTTATATTTTTTATATTTTAAAATGTATTTATCATCTTTATGCAAATTAATAGTTTAGAAATTTGGTTAAATTACTTTTATAATTAGTTGTTCTTCATAATTTTCGGTAATCTTAATATTTATTTTGTAAAATTTAAATATAAATTAATGTTAACACAAAGTATAAATTTGTTACCTACCTTTACACTATGTTGATTTTGAACAATTATAATTTTTTAATGACATAATACTGATATTGCGATAATCGTTCGTGTAAAATTAATATATGATTAGAATAGTGTATTCTCGAATTTAATCTCTCGAACAATGATACATTAAAAGGGGGATTTTCCCTAAAAGGATAATGGTGGTTTCTGATGAAAAACTATGAGCCTGCAATACTAATATATTATTTTTTTGACAAAGATATTGTTCGGTTTTTTCCTCATAACTTTTGAACATGTTTCTCTATACTGTTAGATGCAATTAATAATATTGTTGCCAAAATAATACTTTTATATTCCAGTCTGTAATATTTTTCATGATAAGAGAGTATGAATTGACTAATTGATCCAAAGATAATTTCAAATTCAAATAGACTGCATAAGCTTGATATTTTTATCCTATCCAATAACATAAACATACATTGTCAGACGTTTCAACCTAATATCTGGTAACAAATTCTACTTCATTCTAGCTGATGTACGAAATATATGTAGATAAAAGGAAAATAAATACACATAAATAAATTTTTGATAGTTACTAAATCTGTTTATTTTAGTATTATAAACTCATTGTTTACTACAAACAAATCAACGAATCAACAGTATCCATACATTAGGTTACACTTTTCTCTATGTATAAAATCTCTGTGTTATTAAACCTTTTCTGTATTATAAACGCTCGAATCCAAGTTTTTATTCGAATACGGCCGAAAAACTCTTTTCACAAGTGGGGAAATGTATAGTTATTATCAAAACAAATTAAAATAGTTAATATAAACTAAGAAAAACCTTTTTATAATCATCTAATTAATAAATTATTATTAAATATATTTTTGATGGAACTTGTTTTATTTTAAATCAATTAAAAGCGATATTGTCGACATTATAGTATTTAAAAAAAATATTATTTGATTTATCCCGTATAATTAAGTACATAAATAAATATTTTTAAAATTAGTTTCCAATATACCTTAGAAAACTTATACAAATGTTTGAAATTATGCAATGTTTCAAATATTTTGAAAATTCTACATTTTCGATGTATATGTAGATTTATCGACATGATCGATAAAAATAAAATTCCTATATGAAAATACATGTTTGATATAAAATGTCTTGTTTTTTCCGCAAATATTTCTAAATAAAATATTTATTTTTATTCCGAGAGAAAGTATAAAACTTTACAATTTTGTACAATATCACTTCGTCCCATAGAGTTTTTTTTTTTTATGGATGAAAACACGAATGCTTATTCGTTTGTAAAAAAAAAAAAAAATAATAGTAATAATAAAAATGGCAACAGACAAAATCCCCCGGTGAAATATCCACCTGTTTTAATTCACTTGCAGAAGCGTGTATCCGTACAAATATTAAGCATTTATGTAAAAATTAATTTAAACAATTATACGTATAGTATTATATGTACGTAGTTAGGTAGGTAACGTAAAAAGTAAAAACGAAATATTTCATTTTATTTTACTCTCTCTTTAGAATTGTTTTAAACGTTGCATTATTTTATTTAATCTCAATTTTACAACACGAAAAAAAGAAATGAAATACATAGCTGAACTATAAAAAAAAAAAAATAATAATAATAATAAAACTACCTATATTTTAATAATTCGCAGTTCTTATTACCATAAAACACAATTACATATTAAAACAAAAATAGGTATATACTTTCAAGAATATCGAGCGAAACTGCAGATCTAATATCGCGATATTCATAAAGTACATATAGGGTTTTTTTCTTGCATATTAATATTGTTCATGGTATCGATTATCTAGATGATTCTCTGTGACAATTGAATTAAACAAAACCGGGAGTTTGACCGGGAGTTTGAAATAAAATATAACTGTTCAATTTTCGATCCAAGAACGTTTGGTGAACGTTAGTGACTCCAATCATCGGAGCGCGCAATTTGAGCAATCCTGTACAACGCGTTTGAAAATATAAAGGGTCTCGAAATGTTTAGGTACTGGATTTGAATAATATAAATGTAGCTTATATACAGGCCATAGTTGTAGGATTGCGCAGGGTTTTTTCGCAAGATTTGCCATAAAGAAAATGGGCTGTTATTCCTTAAGCGGGCCTTTTATCCTCTCCTAAAAAAGTGAATGCAAAATATCCATTTATTAAAAATCATATTGTTTACTATCTATCTTTCACGAAAAATGCAGTATTATACATTTCTACATAATATAGATAATCATGATACAAATTACCTGAAATATGTGTATAATAAATTATTCTATCACTGAAAATTGTAAAAAATTAGTACTATCTCTATTACGACAAAGTAATAATAAGTAATAACACAATTAGTAGCTGCTCGATAGTCTGATTTATTACTTAATAACAATTGTTCATACTTCATGAGTTAGCATTTAATTAAACAAAAGCCAGAATGAGTAAATTTCGTTTTCAGCCTACGGTCCAAGGAGTGTGCAACCCTATGAGTCCTTTTATGGCCAGTGTCGTGTTATAGTCGATTAACCTTTAAAATACTAATTTATTATATATATAAAAAAATAAATTATAATTACCTTTGTAAAAACTTTTTGTAATTAAATATTCTGAATTAATTTAACGTGTATTCAATGTTGTATTGTTTTATCGGAAAAGGAATATTTAAGGAGATTGGAGTGTAAAAAATTGTAAGTTATGAGTGTAACTTATAACAATTGCTGACATGCTAGTTATCGGGTGGACTGTAGACCCTTGAGACTAATTTGGAATTAATAAAGCTACCAACATAATGTATCTATAATTGTATACAAATTACACGGATATAATTGATGTCCAAACGAGTCTTTAGAAATATACTATAGCTATATAAGTATTGGTGCCCATACGAATTATGACTTTTGCGGATTAAATTTGGCTTTTGTGTCTAAAAGACTCGCGTCTTAATTGTTCTTAACAATTGTATAGGTTTTTCATGGAATAATATAATAGATAAAATATTATTGGTAAGCGAATGTTGTAGATAGAAGTTAAGTATTTACGTACAGTAAATTATTGTAAACACACAATGATTCTGAGTGGTGTTCATTTAATTTGTTTGGTGGAGCATTTAATTATAAACAAGGAGATTTAGAAATGAACAATAATCAGCAAAACTCAAGCACGAGTGTTTAAATTTTAAAATCAGACTTTCAAATGTCCAGCACTTATCCCAACCTATATATGCGTTCAAAATGATAGAATCATTCCGCACGGGTATTATAGACGATTTCGTAACGCGGAACTGATGTATTGTCGAGCGTCATATGTTGTAATTTTTTAAAAATTTGTTAGAAAAAAAATAAAACTTTGAAAAGTGTGAAAGATTAGGAGGGGTTTTACTAAACCGAAAAACAGCGGTGAAAGTCGTAAAAATAAAAAAAAAAAAAAACCAATAAATTCGTTTATTAATTTGTTTTGTTTTTTTTTTTGTTAGCGAGTATATAACGTTTTACAGGGTGTACCGTGTGTATTGGGTATTTCCTACGCCGAATGTCACAATAATAATATAACGTCCAGGGGCGGGCAGTTCGCGTATTATTATATTAATGTTTTTGTCGAATTGAATTATAATATTTTCTTTAGGCTCCAACACCGCCGACGTGTATAACAACAACAACAATAATAATAATAATTAGCCTTTTCGGTGTATACACAGGTAGGTATTTGTCGGCATCACCCAAACACCACTCGCGTATAGTTATATTATTATTATTAGTAATATTATTATTATTATTATTATTACAGTCGCGTATAATAACGGCGATAATAAACTATGTTCGCTCGCGCAGGTCGTTTGTTGTTCATACTTAGCGTCCGCGGTGGTCGGGGAGCGGGCGGGGTGGTTTAATGGGGGAGACGGCCGGCGGCGCCGTTTGGTTTTTGCTTTGTGGATCGCTCTCGGTTTAGAATTGATCGCGTTTTCCATTACGAGTACCTATAAGTTCGTACATCTGTGTATAACGACGGACAACCGAGAGTGTACCGGCCAGTTGTAGGTATGAGGGCGCGACTACTACAAATTAGTCGGCATTAAGTGTTAAACCAATTATCCCGACTAGCGACGGTAGCGGTGGCAAGTCAACGTAATTTTGTTGATGCGTTTCGCGGTCCGATCGAGTAACCGGATGAAAGAACCGCGCGGGAAATTTCCGCCCCATTCAGACAGTTACAGGGGAAACCCGAATCGCGGAATAATATAATATTTTCAAACCGATCGGCTCAGAGGTGGACTACGACGTAGCGGGACGGATCGACCAAGGTAGATTTGAAAATCTAGTGGTTCGAATTTGTTTCTGAGATATTACTTATGATGGCAAAATTCAATAACCGAGCATTGATCGAATACCTATTGAAAATTTAATAGGTAGTTATCAAAATATTTAAATTCCTCCCATTTTATATAGTTGACGTACAATTTCGACTACATTAACTGGTGATGAGAGGTTTTTGTGCACTTTTACGTCCCTTATTAGATGTAATAATATTTAAGTACACAGCTTTCACATACACCGGAAACCTAAACCTAAAAAAAAAATGCTATTCGATTCTGCGGTTTGTATAATTGTATATTTTTATGTGGATAATTATGTTGCACGTGTATCGGCGTTCAAATGACAAAAAATCAATATACAAATCGTCTATTCGATGAACCAAATTCGAAAAAATAAAATAAATTGTTCCTATATTATACGTATAGTTAACTCGATTTCCTGCACAGTCACAGACACGTCGAAATTATTTTTGCTCCTCTTATTTTTATTTTATTTATTTTTTTTTTTTTTCCGTTTGATATATTATTCGTATTCAAATCGTATAGGTATTGACTTTTCCAATAACCATCACGTGCGCCGGCACAACATGATTTGTCAATTCGCCATACGTGCATAACTTTCGAGTATACAAATATAATATGACCTACGATAAGTGTAGGCAGGGTGCTTACTGCCCTTCAATATAGTAAATACTAATAAAATAATAATATTCATTTTTCACCGCCGCTTTGTGATAGGTACCGTTTATGAAACCGTATATTATAATAATAATATTCGTTATACGCCGAAACGCGAAATATTATACCCATAGTTCGTGTCTTTTAAGCTTTTCGAGCGAAAAGAATTGAAATGAAAAGAAACACAATTTACTTTATGTTTTTTTCGTCGTTATAACACCGTGTCCGAAACTCCCGCGAACCGTTAATACCGTCAACATTATTCGACGGATAAATAGCATATAGTGTAGGCGTACACCTATACAACCAGCGGAATGTTAAACGTACACCGCGAGTTTCGTATCATAATAGTTGTATTGTGTTAACAACCGCAACACCAATTATAAATTCTGCACTCGACTCGCCACGGCGCAGGGTGATAAATATTTCTCGCGCGGGTATACAACGGGACGCATACTTAAAAATAAGCTTTTATAATCGGATAAGTATAATAATATTTGATATATGGCCGCGACCGTTGCTGGAAATTTAATACAACCGTGTTTGCAGTAACAATGCAATGGTACAGATATACACACGCGTATACGCGCACACGCATACCGCGATAATATTAGCGGTAATAATGCAAGTATCAGGAAAAAAATAAATACCATTTAAATAATTACGCGGCTGTTGGTTCAAATAATGTGGAAAAAAACAGCTGGATACTGGAGGCGAGTGTGGCCATTGATGTAGGTGGGTATAGTTGGAAAGGTGGTATATGTAAATAGTTATTTAATTGTTTACCCGTAACCAACGATAAACCGGCGCTAAGAAAAGGCGACTTGGAGCGAAATTCGATTGCAAATGTTTTGAAAGGGCTTATAATGTTTACGATTTTCGTCAAAATTTGATTTTAATGCTATAATTAAAAAAAAATAACAATAATAATAATAATAAAAACAAAATACATTACACTCAATTTTTTTTTTGGCTACAACACGTTTGGGCACTTTAACCCGAATTGCGACTCGTTTGGGCACACAATTATTATTGTTTAGTACATATCACTTTTTTTCTTTAATTAAACATGACATGGCTATCCGGTACCTTATAATCAACATTTTTATTTATTTCGTTTAAATTTAAGTATAAATATAGGCACACATACATTTCTTGCGGCTATACGTTTTCGGAACCGTTTTTATACTTTATAAACTGCAGTGAACGATTCAATTTATATTGGGTCATTTGTTTTATCGTCCGAAATATTGCGCTCAGTGTGTTTTTTTTCATGTTATTCAATTCGATTTATTTTTTTTTCTCTATTCGTACGATCGCTCACGATAATCATTGCATTTTAAATGTTTCCATATAAAAGTATTTCGAACTGTCGTGCTGAAAACGTGAAAAGCTATATAATAGATTTTTGATTTGTATGATTGGTTCTTTTATTCTTTACTCCTATATGTACACCTAATTAAAATTTTATTAGCTTCAATTAATATTATTATACTTAGGTGAACGGACTATTATGGAGAGAAATATTTGTTCCTAACATAAGGTAAAGACGTAGACAAAAAAAATTACCGTCACGTTTCGTATAATACCAAATATTCATCAAAATTTAAACAAAAAAACAAAGTTATCTGTATTAAATATAAATGTATGTGGTTATCATAGTTTTGAAAACAAAAATTAGTTTAAATTGGGTTTAAAATATTCTACATTTACGTGAAACTATAATAAAATTAAATGTCTTTCGTATTTATACATAATATTTTAGAATGAAAATATATTTCAAACTAACAAGGACGGAACATTAAAAAATCGTTTTTCATATTATCTTGTTTCCTACAGAATTACATCTCTTCAAAGAAAAAAGAAGAAAAAAAATGTTGTTTTTGCCAAATCGTTATCATATTAAGCAGCGTCAAAGTGATTTGATTACACGGTGTATTGTGTTACAAGAATAAGGTCATTATTGTTATCATTATAAATTTGAATATGATTAGTTTTTATTTATAAATATTTTGTTCTTGAAAAACATTGATAATTATTATTATAAAACTCGCTAAAATGTGAATTCCCGAAGAAAATGCGTCATCGAATTATTAACATCAACGGTATTAAATTACATTTGAACGAGATTTTTAACGACATTATAATATTTACAATGAGATTTTTACGTTCGCTTTTAATTTGTTTGCAAAAAGTTACCGCGATTAACATAATGTTCGTAAAATAAATACCTAAACGGAAAATATAGTGAATTACATAGGTGTTTATAATATAACATCATACACTTATAGTATATTGTATAGGGTATATAAATAACAATAAAGAAATAACTGTAAAACCCTCCAAGAGTCCCGAAAAAAACCTCGTTTCCCCTGCGCAACAAAAGACAGGTATTATTTATTTTTCGGGTAACTTCATAAACGTGGCGTATTAAAATACTAAAATTATGCATGAGGACATGTATCATTACAGTAGATTATTAGAGTGGCTGCTGCTGGACATTGCTATATAGTATGTTTACAATTTAAGTGTACACGGACACGCTTAATTCGACCGCGAAAACTTAACAGATACTTATCTGCAACGACAAAATTCATTAGGATTTACTATTTGTTTCCATAGTGTATGCGAAGAGTATTCTTTAATCAACAACGAATTCTGGAATATTTTTTTGGCCGGGTTCCTATCATATTGTAATTTTTTTTTTTATCTTGACCGTATCGATTTCGTATGTTAATTTAAAATAAGCTTCTATAAAATGATTATTGTTATTGAAGGACGAGAATAGCAAATCCATTTTTTTGAACATCGTTTTATTAGCTATAAAAAAAACCAAATTCTATAATTTTTCAGTGTTATCTTAAGTTACGTTTATTAAATATTAGCTAAGTACTATAAGTTATAAATGATAATTAAACAAAAGTCACTAAAACACTGGTCGCAAGTAATCCTCCACACTTTTATTAGTAGGGAGTTTGGAAGATATATGTTGTGTAATTTTTCAATTTATATACCGGAAACAATTAAAAAACAATTCTAAGTGGAGCTTAGTTTTAGTATTAGTTGTACATTTTCCGTTAGACCTTATTAATACCTAAGTTACTCAGAATTGCTGGCCCGGAAATCAATACAAATAAAACCAAACTATTATCATTAGTTCTTAGTTTTTAAAAAATATCTTTTGAAAAATTATTAGCAATCCAGACAATTTTTCAAATAAAGCACCATCCACATCTTATAAAATACAATGCGTGTTAATATCGATACATTTTACTCACACAAAAAACATACAAATTAAATTTTTCGAAAAAAGTGTTAAGGTTTTCAAAAATATGTTCAAATAAAGTATTATCAAATGGGAACTTTATACTTTGTAAGGTATGATATAATCGGAAAAATCGAACGATTACTTTAACTAACCATAAATGCATTTTTCGATTAAAAAAAAAATAAATAAAATACGTAGTAATAAAATCTTTTCATTATACAAAGAACCAAAAATAGTTGTTCAATGACTAGGTATGATGGCATGTGAATTTCGTAATGCGCATATATAGGTATTTTAACATTAGAAATATTGTAATGTCTCATGGAAAGAAAACTCAGCTGATACTGATGGCAGTAATTACTATCATCGTATTTCTGCGTTAGGTAATCACAAAGTTGCTACCATATTAAGTTATTTAGCCATGCACCGTACAAAATTATACACGTTTTTTTTTTTTAAAAAAAAAGAGCTGATACTGGGGATGGGAGTGGCCACTGTTTTTGGTGAGAAGTTGGGAGGGTAGGATACTTAAGGTTATTTCATTTATATCTGTAAGAAACGATAAGCTTAACGAAAGACGATTCCAAGTGAAGTTTTGTAATACATAATTTGACGTGCCGTAATTTTTTTTTGTGATTTTCGTTGAAGTTTGATTTCAAAATGCTTATTAAAAAAAAAATTCGTCCGATGATTTTGGAAATTTTATCACATCTAGGTAAGTCCAATATAAGTATTATTACCAATTTTCAAGTCTCTACGTGTATTTATAACCGAATTACAGTAAAAAACTCCCTAAAATTAAAATTCTTTAAAAGCTCAAAAGTAGCTCAAAAGTTTTTGCAAAGTAATGAAACCGTGAAATTGTACATTTTCTACATTTTTTTCCCCACTTAAGTGCTTTTATTTAAAAAATGGCGTCAAAAATTAAAAAAATAATCTTCTTAAACTACCATCTGGACAAATTGAGCTTTTAGAAATGTTGCTACAAGTAAAAATCGGAGCAAGTTTACTAGGAAAAAACGTGTCCACAGACTAGAACAAAGAAGAAAAAAACAGAAGCAAACAGCATTTTAAAACCAAAAGCTTCCTCGTTACGCTCGCAATCTAAAATATAATCCACATGAAATTGAAAGAGGTAAGTGCGTAGGTGAATTATACCGGACAATACTATAACGATTTGAAATCATTAATATTTAATGTAAATTATAAAGTTGGCTACTCAAAATAAATTGTATTAAATAAATAAATACACAAAAGCGTAGTTATACAAATGTACTCAATTACATAACCGTTATAAAAAAAATAATAAAATAATTCAATAATAACATAATACATTATTCATATAATATAGTATAAGTATGTTAAAAATAAATCATTCCGAATCCATACAAACCATGTCCACCCTCACACTTGCCCTTGCCCTTCTATCACTATTTATGATTCAGCATATCAAATCTAAGTGATTTAATCTAAATTATCGACTACGAATAAACTCAAAATATTTATTGGCTATAAAAAAAGACACTAATAACAACACTAAAACTGCTGAATCCTTAATTAATCCAGTTTTGACATGCAGTATCCAGTTATGGAGAAATGAAAGCAAATCAAACATAATTGAAATTCAAATTGTTTTGAAATCTAAACCTGAAGTTTGATTTTAATCAATATTAAACAAGCTTCTGAAATGGCATATGAACTCAATAGGTATAGTTGAAAATAATTCAAATTTGGTTATTTGAATAATAATAATAATAATAATAATAATAATAATAATAATAATAATAATAATAATAATAGTATGAAAACTAGAAAAAAAAAAACAAAAAACAAAAACTAAAATTTATTAAAAGCAAACCACATAAAACATAGGTACCTACCTAATGTGTTTTTCTTAGTTTAGACAAAAGTTCCCAAAGTTTTAATGTGTTAAAAAAATAGTATTATAAAATCCGTGTCAAAAACTCCGGAATTTTGCATTTAATAATAATATAATAACGTAAAAATACGAACTAAGTAAAAATAATATAATTTCGTCATAATACATTATTATTATATTAACGACTAGGAACAATAAAATATATATATAATTATAGGTATAAACTTTTGTTTAAACACATTATATACCGATTCTCATCACCAATACTACACCAATGTCAAATAAAATGCCATTAAAAATTGGAACATTCTGGTTTCACCCGGTTAATTTATTTCGCAGTTGCGAATTAATACAATTTACGTTTATCAAAACGCGATTAAAATCCTAACTTCGCTCAGAAGCGTTTTTCACTGACAACGATTTATTGATGATACAATTTAAATTACCCTATAATATTATATTGTGTTTTTTTTTTTTTTTTTTTTTTTTCATTAGTTTTAATCTGCATAGGTCTAACTGGTCTAATTTAATCGGTAAAAATAATTTATCCCACGTATACCAACGAATAATGCAGGTATATTTAATATAATTTGTTTCTACTTTGGTTTCAAGCGAAATGTCCTTACCAGTGGTGACATTTTCAATTTTCTCGCACGTTCGATTTCACTTTGTATCGTAGAGCAACGCGCGCGCACGACTAAGACGTGATCGAAAAACTATATTTCTTGTGTATAGCGTTTGATTGATTTACACGCTTTGAGTATATTTTCTCTGCGTTTTCGCGGGGGATGTTAGCAGGAGCTTTGCTCGTGTTTGAAGATTGAATACGCGTACATTGCCGTAATACAGAGTGATTTTTAGTTTCTGACCGGTGGTGCGGTGAAACTAAATACCCATTTAACTTTCCAATATGATGATAGTTGTTATTTTAACTTCTCAAACAACACTATTCCTCGGAACATTAAAAATGCTCAAAAAGTTGTTCGTGCTGAAAGTATAATATATAGACAATTAGCATTAATCGAACGCAAATGTTACTTTGGGGAAGTCATTTTTCGATTTTCCCAAAAAGTTTCCACAAGCGTAAAGAGGTTAGGTACCCACATAAAAACTAACGGCAAATGTTTAGAAAATTGTTTAAATTTACGACACACCTGTTTTAACAATAATCATTTTAGTTTTAAATTTAAACCCAGTGTACCTTTACTAAAAACTTGTGGGCTTTTGTTCAGTACTGTTTTTCCAGTGCAATAATTGACTAAGTGCTGATTATGATTTGTTATCGCGTAACGTGGTATTCTATTGAAAATTAATTGTTTTCATGCCAATTCTCTAGAAACGAATACGGCTATTACTCAGAAAATGTTGATGTGAATGATATGAATGTATGGTGCATTCAAATTTTTAGAATAATATTTTTCACAAAATGGTTATTTTTAAAAGTGAAAAAATGTTGTCTTTATACGTGTCACACTGACCCAAAACTGGAAAAAAAAATATATATATAATTATTTGATGTACATACAGCACTGTAGGACAGCCTATATAAATAAATATACACATATGTATATTTAGACTTAAGCACTTATCTATATTTTTCCTGTGATTACGGAATAGTTTAAGGATCACGTGTAGGACAGAGGACTTGTAGCATTTGCATATTTGTTTTGCACAGTCACAAAAATAGCAGAGTACAAAACAGAGACGTTTCATGCTTTAAAAAAGTTAGTTTTGAAATTTTGTTTTGCATATAAATGCATATTTTGAGTCCTTTTTGTGTATAGTGCGTATTTTACACTTTTATCCGTCAATTTATATTTTTTGAGACATATTCAACTTGCATCAATATTTACCACACCGATGTTTTAATTTCAAACAATCAGTCAAAATGTTTGGATAAAAATGTATTTATTGATAATTTTTGTCGTATAATATGGTTTTGAATGTCCACGGGCACACGTTTTTCCTAGAAGCGCTTGACGATCGGCGATTAGGCAATAATATTAATTTGCTGGAATTATTTTTATCTAGGTGGATAGTCGTTTACGATTATTTACGTATACGTTTATTCGATTAGGATTTTTATTTATAAAACGTTTCTAGAAACGACAATAATCAATATTTTAATATTTAGTCTCAGTCAGTTCTGCGAAATGCACATTCGTATTAATTGTGCNTAAACAGCCTTTAAGTAGTCGGTTAAAATGTTTTGTGTCTGAGTTTGGTGCCTGTACATTTTCGACCGACGGTAAAGTGCTGTACTGTAAATATTGTGACGTTTAAGTAGGGAGTGAAAAAAATTTTAGGTGCATATTATGGGGTTTTTAAGTGCATAAGTGCTTGCATATTTATTGTTTTTTTAGAGCTACAAGTCCTCTGCCCTAATCATGTGTATTAATATTATTATTATTATTTATATATTTGCCGCGATTTCGTTAACTTGAAATAATAACTATTGCAGCTACTAACAAATTACGTGCGGTGTTAACTCGTGGTTAGGTTTCTAACGCTAATGACTCTTTGGCATATCTATACGGAGCTGAAAACAGGGAGAATAAGTCTTTGGTATTCAGGACGGCGTAGAATTGAGGCTAGGTATTTGAACAAAGAGGCCCGAGGGAAATGCCACATTTATCTCTATAAATTATATGATTTACCAGATATCATTAAAACGAGTAATTGGTGTTCTGCAGTAGTGATGTAAAATGTCCGAAATTTTGTAGTTGAAAAATTTCTGAGTAGTAGTTTTTTTTTTTTTTTTTTTTTAAATTGACAAGTATAAAACAAAACAATACTTATGAATATTATAAAAATTTACCACTATGATTTAAACAAAAATTCTATATTAGACAATTTTATTTAAAAATGCATTAATATAACATTGGAAAGATTACAATGAATTAAAATTATTAAATATTGAATTTTCTGAGTGTAATAGATACTTCGTAAGTATAACTCTAAAAGTCTCGTCACTTTTACATAGTATTTTTACATAACAAAATGTACTAGACTATCTTTCACTACACACACTGTAGGATGTACGGTTAAGTAAATAATGATCGATTTTAATTGATGAAAAAAAATCGATATCATTTAGAATCTAAATGATTTCGAATTATCTAAAATGTAAAATAGATGAAATTATTTTACTCTTGATTACCACATTAAAATATTCAGTAATATGCCAGGATTCGTATAATGTTTTAAGTTCTTTAAAAAGATTGTCTATCTTATAGACATCATACATCTTTTCTAGTGTATGTATGAAGTCACTTTTAGACTTTTAACGGAGCGAGGAATGCATTGATTTTACAATAATGTTTATTATTATTTTTTTTTTATTCTGTGTATATAAATTCTACTAGAAATTTTACGTCATCTCGAATCAACTGTAACTTAGTTTCTGAAATGAAATTTGTATTTAGATGATATTCTAGGGAGGCCGTTTTTTGATTGTCAAAGCTGTTTTTATTATATCCTGGGATAAAACGTAAAAAAAACGAGAAAATTTAGGAAAACATTGCTTTTATTATTTTCAATTTAGTTTTTTGTTGCAATTTAGTTAAAAATAATATTTTTAGGGACTTAAAATTTGGACAGAAAAATTATATTTGACATTTCTAAACGTACTAATTTTTTGAGTTTTTTACGCAATTTTTATTTAGTAAGTTCTCTGTCGATAAACGTATTAAACTAAGAAGAAATGCTTGACAATTTAACAGGAAGTTCGTTATAAGTTATACTTAACGGTCAACAAGTAAAAATTGAGTTTAATGTAGATAGTATTATTTAATTTATTTTATAAAATTTTTAAAATCAAATGTTGACGAAAATCATAAATATTGCCGTCTTTCAAAATATGTATAACTGAACCCCGCTCAGAATCATGGGCTACGTATTTGTTTTCTTAGTACTTTATTTTCAAAAGCTAGTAGTTTCTTTTCCAGTTGTAGAGTTACGGGAGTCATATTTCGAATTCATATTAGTTACACTGTGTTATATAGTATTATTTATTTCTTCTGTTTTCGAAATGTCAAACATAATATATTCTAATTATCTGAAAGATATTTTAATACCTACCTACCCGCAAACGTGAATAATCCAAACATTTATGAAATGTATTAATTATATTGTATAGATATTTGGTATTCGATACATTTTACATTATATACAAGACGTATACTTAGTGTGAAAATGATAGAAGCTGTACACATTTTAACACATTTTTCTCGGCACATCCTAAATATTAAATTAATGCTGTCCTTTGTTATTTTCTATACCAGCATCACTCATCAGTTTCCATTTCGAAACTCAAAGGTATTAATATTAAATATAAGTAGTGCCCTTGTTTTCTTTTCTTTTTTTTTATGTGAAAAATTACCACGATTGTGTAAAGAAAACCAATAAGGAAAAATATTGCCAAAGAAATGCATAAAACATATAATGTTTAGATTGTATATCTCTGATATTATGAAAACTAAAAAGTTGGTGACTCCACAGGAATATTGAAATAAAATATTATTGAACAAACTCAAGTGATCTGTAAACGTGTGACACATAACACATGTGATATATGTGACATCACATGTAATTACATTTTCTAAAAATTTACTTTCAAAAAATCAAGAGATGATTATACCGAGAGTTATATATATATATATATATTATATCTCGCATCATAAAAATTCCTAAATTTAGCCAGTCTGATAGAGAATATTAATTTTCTCGGCTACACCGGTTTTGATTGCCTTCACCAATGTTAACGTGTTTTCTACCAGAATTTTTGCACCAATCAACAAATGACGCAAGGGAATTTATTTTTTATCTTTTTGAATCTACTTGATGTATTGAGGAGGCCATTTTTTGATTTCCAAAGTAGTTTCCGTAATGTTTGAGACAAACCGACAAAAAAACTTAGTAAAACCTGGAAAGTTTACACTTATAACGGTTTCATTTTTTTCGGTTTTGTTTTTTGTCATTCGGTTAAAAGTAAATCGTAGATATATTGTTTTATATCAAGCTACTAAACGATTATATTAAAATTGAATACAATTGGGGAAATTATTTTGGCGACGGTCTAAATATAATTATAATTGGTAAAACATAGTATACTTACTAAGCATTACATAATTACTTTTAAAAGTTATTACTTATTATCAAATAAAATGTTTAACTTATTAACCGGCAAATATCCATGCTTGGTTTAAATATAAAAATATTCTTAGCCAATGTATGCAATTTATAAGCAGGTAAAGAATTATTAGATGGGTGAAAATTTTTTACGTTGCAGGTAACTAAGGAAAACGTAAACAGTGGTAGAAAACTACTTAAATTTATTTTTCCAGAGAAAACCACCTTCGGCTCATTTTATAAGCATAATGTTTACGAGTCACAATAATGTATTTTTTATTATGATTTTTTTTTTTGTCGTCATTGTGTGTTTTTAATCTACGAGATAATATATGTATAATTTTATAATGTTCAGAAAACGATTTTTTGGATTTACGCCGTGTCGTTTCGTATTTGCATTCCAGCGTACTCGCACTTCCAATATGGCACTGTCCGCATGAAAGACGAACGTTTTTTTTATTATTGTTCCCGGTCGGCGTCCACGCTTTTTCTCGGGGACAATTGCCGCTACTAAAACAACGACAGTATAATATGTTTAGGACCTCTTACTATTATTATACGACATCGCATCCATCGTAAAAAATGTGTGCACGTTTCCGGGCGGTTTACCGTGTCCGCAGGAAAATTAATTATTCATCGACAAGCACCTCCATATCCACCCGGTGACGTATTCAGGGAAGAGCTCCAACCAAAATTTTTCAAAGATCTTTTACAACTAATTTATATGTACCTATATTTTTTGTAAATCATTTTTTTAGAACCCCCTCCCCCCTTGAAAAAAATATTCTAACCCCTATAATAATAATAACAATAAATGTTGCTATTTTACACGTACCGGGTGATTTTTTTATTATTACGAACCCACGTTCACCTATAAAGATTACTTTATTGTGGAATCATAATTTGGTTTTTTACAGTCTTTTTAGATTCGTTTAATATATGGTGAATTTTCAAGTTTTCAATATTATTTTTTCCATCATATTATACCAAAAAAATAAATTAACTTTTAGTTGTTTAATATAACTACTTTTGAATAGGATTCGAATAAAAGGATTTTCTTCAAATATTCATATGTTTTTAGCCCTTATTCCATACTCCTCCGGTTCGAATTTTGTACATTTTAAAAACTAAAAATAGCTAGTCGATATTATTATTGTATTATATGAATTTTGTAGTACAAGCACTTATGATTTGTAGGCTATTATTGTAGAATCGGGGAAAAATGTTGAAAATATTTTAAATAAAATCTGCAATATCTGATAAGAAAAAAAAAAACATGCAAAAATTACGACAAAATTTAATTTACTCAAAATCTTTAAAGATTTACACGATAATCGAATCGTTCTGTATAAGGGTACCGACCTGAATATTTGTCATTTAAAATCGGACTCAGTAACTTAACCGTTACGCGTCATTTTGTCTGCAAATTTCGCAAAATTTCTGTTCGGAAATAGATATAAACCTGCACAGTGACGGATTTTCGTTTTTTGGGATCCAAAGTAATAATATTTATAATCCGACTAGACGATTGGGTCGTTCGGTTATCCAATTTCCTACTATTTTTCCATTTGACGACTATTCAAATTACCTAGAAAACGGCTGTTGAAGCATGCACGTTTTTTAGAACAAGTGTAGACGTCTCTAGGTATGTATATTTGTTAAAACACTAGTTTTGGGATATTATAGAAACAAGAAGTGATTTTTCCT